ACGGTGATATAGAGTGGTCTTCACATGTATGGCATACTACTTAAATGACATTAGATGATAATAATTCAATGAGGAAAGTACTATATATATAGTGACATAGAGTGGTCCTTACATGTATGACATACATGTATGACATAGTACTTAAAAGTTGGAAATGATTTTTCGATAGAGTAGGGCTTGGGCGTCGACAAATCGATGCTCGAATGCCTCGAATTGGGGTTTTTTTTTTTTTTTTTTTTTTGGAAATGGTGGTTATGTGTAAGAGTATGTTAAAAAATTAAATATCTCGCATCAACTCAGTTTGTGTGATTTGATAATGTGAGTAAGTTGAATTGGACTGGTTGAGTGATAAAATTGACTGATTAGTTAGGTTGCTGATTAAAATTTGTTAATTCCATATAATTTTGTACAAGTCCTTACTATATTTTTGTTTCAAATCAGGAAGACTCGGAGGAAATTTAAATGACTTTGGTATTGTTTATGCAAAATACCAAAGCCATTTCAATTTTGTCCGAGTTTTCCTAATTTGAAATAAAAATATAGTACGGGCTCGTACAAAACTATATGGAATCAACAAATTTTAACCAACAATCTAACTAATCAGTCAGTCTAACCCAACTCACTCATTTTATTAAACCACACAGGCTGAGTTGGTGCGGAATGTTTAATTTTTTGACACACTCCTACGCATAACCACCATTCCAAAAAAAGAACAACAACAACCAAACCTACACAACCGAACAAATAAATAAATAAACAAATAATTTTCTTAAAAAAAAAACAACAACAACAACCAACATAGCCCAACAAATAGAAAGAGAAAAAGAAAATTGAGGCATTCGAGCCTCGATTTGTCAAGACCCCAAGCATTAGTCTTTTTGATAACTTTAATTTGAAATTAAAGTTAAATTCAACCGTCAGTTGAGGTAGGTCTGAATGATTTTATATTTTTTTAAGTAAGAATATTGCAATACAAAAATAATAAGCCGAAACCATTAAGTTGTGAATGAGAATTGTCTCATAAAGTGAGTATTAATAAAGTTGGACTTAAATTTGGACTTGGGTTGTTTTGAAAAATTGGTTAAAAAACTAGTTTCTTTTTTTTTTTTTTAAACTTTTTTTTTGAAAAAAAAGTATAAAAAAATAGAGAGGTGATGTGACCTAAATAGGCTAAAAATTGGCTTTGGCTTTGGCTTTTTTAAGCGCTTCCCAAAAGAGCCTTGGTTTGCACTAAACCTAAGTTTGTGCTTGTGCATTTGCTGGGTTTGGTTTTGAACTTGTACTTAATCTTGAGGTTGGGCTAAGTTATATTATGTTGGACTTAGCTTGTTTGAAAAATTAGGCTTGTTTCGGGTTGTGACCCAATATTAGTATCCATTTTGTGACTCATTTAGTTGATTTATTCAAATATCAATATATACATATTTATTTGTGTTTATTAAGCACACAAGAAATTTAAATTTTTGTAACTCTCATATTTTTATGATGAAGTTGATGACCATATTAGTGGCTACTGTAAGTATTTTTTTATGATGACCATATTTTTTATGATGGATGCTGTAAGTATGCCGGCGTCCCTAACGGCTAGAGTTTATGGCCTTGACTAATGGCATTTAATGGCCTTATTAATGTATAACTTTCATGATTAGGGATTCTCTGGGATTCTCCTACTTATAAAAATAGAGGCTTTTCTTATCCAACTTAGTAGGATAATTTGGGAGAGATTTTTTATGAAAAATGAAGATGGTATTTTGAAATAAAAAATTGGAGATTTTTTTTTTTTTACACCAAATAAAATTTTCTTATCTTCTTTTACTAATATCTTCTTTGGTTCTTATTAAAGAGAGTTTGTTAAGTTCACCGAAACTATTCAGGAGTTGCTTCTGCATTAACTGGTTTTGACTGTTGAATCTCGAGAGGCAGATGCCGGCATACTTACAGCATCCATCGAGAGGCGATGAATCTATTTTAAATAAATTGTGGTATTACACTGGTTTCGATTTGTATCTTTTATCTTTTGTTCTTAAAACTTTTAAATTTGAATTATTTTTGATATATTATTTTATATGTTCATGGAAATCCATTTGGTAATATGTTCCATAATGTAATCTAGTTTATTTCTGTATTTTTAGTTGTGTAGTTTATTCTTTAATAAAAAATATTTATTTTGTCATTCTATTTATTTTATTTTATATATTTTTCTTATATTATTATGAAAAAATATCAATACTTAAATGACATTAGATGTGTTATATGGAATTTGTGATGGCATTGTTTGGTGCAATTTAGGAGTTATTTATGTATTTATTTTGATTTGTTTATAACTTATGAGATATAAATAACTTAAATAAATTGATTATTATTTTTTACACAAGATAGTGATTAATATGTTAATAGTTAAATTACAAAGCAGGCTAACGTTTCTTCATAGATTCAAACTTGAAATCTTATATATCTTGACATCTAAGTCTCCTATTCATGACAAATTGGACAACTACCCGGGGTCAAATAAATAGATTATTTAAAAGTTAAGAAATAAGTGATTTTAGTATATACTTTTGATCATCAACTTCTAATTTGAAAAAAAAAAAATACCAAATAACATTATTAATGTCAAATAAGGCGTATATTAAATATTGTACAACCGTAACCATCCTAATAGTACCACATTTTGTTTCACATAAGGGCCAACAAATAAAATTATTATGTTGTTTGATTTTCATATTCAAATACAGTTATCGAGTTTATTTATTTATTTTTTTATATTTTAGTAATTTTTTTTTTCATATTATAGTCAAATTTTCTTATTTTTCTTTTTGAATATATGTAATCTAAATGCACCTGAAGTTAAATTTGTATAGAAATCTCTAAAAGAAAAAAATACAATTTTTTTCCCTTCAATTTTCTTCACAAATATATATAAAAAAGGGGAATTTATCAGAAAGTTCCATATGGTGAAATTACATTCCATTTGGTCCCATGAATAATTTGTTTGATTGGGCAATCCATAATAGTAGAAATATCGTACTCATAACTCCTTTTTTGACTTATATTGTTATGTGGGGGACAAATATGCCCTTGCATTAACTATGGGCTTTTATGTTTTCATTTTTTTATATGTAATACCATGTTGTACCAAGTCGGTGTACCGCGTTGGTCCTGCGGATCTTCTTCTGGGTATCGAAAACATCGTTTTCGTCGTTGTTCTTGACGTCGGTTGAAGCGTCGGTGATAGGGGAGTTTTCCATGGTCTTAGATTCGTCGATCGAAGCGTCGTTGCTAGGAGTATCTGAGGGTGGTTGGTCCTGTAGTTGTTCTGGGTCAGGGGTTTTACTATGGTTTTCCTTTTTCTGAGTGGTTGGGATCGGGATCGGGGTCACAGTCGCCATTGATGTAGCTGATAACTGATGTGATGAGAGAGAGAAAGAGAGAGAGACGAAGGAGTGAGAGATGATGAGTGAGAGAATCATATACAAAAAACATGGAAGAATTGATAGGGTTTAATTCGATTCAAAGTCGATATGTTCATGTCACATGATCCAAAGGGATGATGTGAGATTAGTGAAGCATCTTCTGATGTTCATCAGTTTTCATATAAATATGGTTATGGATATACACATGGATCTGGACTGTGTTTTCTTGATATGCGATTTATTTAATTTTTGTGATTTCTATTAATTTGTTTGTGCTTGTTATGTGAGTATGTATGGAACCAGAACTGTGGAACCAGTGTGGAACCACAACTGTGGAACCAGAATTGAGATTGAGATTGAGAACCAGAACTGTGAATCGGTGAGGAACCACAGTACCAGAATCGGTGAGATTGAGAACGAGAATCGGTGGAATCGGTGAGGTTCACGTTGATTTATCACAAATGGCAATTGGAAAACAAAGGGTCAAACTGATGGAAAGCTGAAACGTGACACAATCCACGTCACAAAAAAAAAAAAAATGTCAAATTACTTGTGTTCACGTCACAACCCACGTCTCATGTTTTGAGTCTTACACACTTATTAAGCCTGTGTTTGGCAAGGGCTTTTTCAGGCTTTTTTGGCTATTTTAGCCACAAAAAACAAAATAGGCTATTTTAGCCATAACAAACAAAACATCACATCCAACCTATAATCATTACATTCTTCTCTCACAAAAAAAGTCAAAAAAGCCAAAAAGCCAAAAAGCCCTTCCCAAACCAAACTTTTTAGCCCAGGCTAAAATAGCCAAAAAAGCCAAAAAGTCAACCCACTTCCCAAACGGAGGCTAAATTAAAAACAGTATTAGTGTGTTTTTTCGATCAGCGTGACACACAAACACCCATTCACCTTATCACATACAAACCCACACCAAATGTCAATCAATAATACTAGCAGTGGCAAAACAGTCAACAAACAAATTAAGAGACCATCCAGTTACTAAGAAAACATTCAGGCCCTTATGGATTACAAATTCACAAAATAGGATTTACTGGTCAATTTCTAAAAAAAAAAAAAAAAAAAAAAAAAAAAAAAAAAAGCCAAATAAATAAAATAAAATAAATTAAAAAACTTAACAAAACGTGTTATATTATAATATGAAGTAGCGAAAATCACGTTGTATCTACCGACTTTTTCGCGTTTCTCATTAGATATGTCGCAAATCTATTGATGTGCACGGAATGGATTATTTTATTAAAATCTTAAAAACGCTATATGTGCTGCTGAGCATGCGTTGCACGTGCTCATGCACGCAAACCAACAAATGAGCCGCGAAAAAATATAAATCGCATTTAAAAATTAAAATTTCTTACAAGTTTTGTTTGGAATTGAGTTGATTTTTTATTTTTTTTAATTTAAAGTTAAAATTGAGATTAAAAAGTTTTATTTGTGGATAAATTTTTTTTATTTTTTTTTTGATTTTTATAAAAGAAAAAATAAAATGATTCAAAATAACTTGAATAGTATATTTTATCTAATTAAATTAAAAAAATTATTTTATTTTATTTTTTAGTATTTTAACCCAACGCACCCGACCGACCCAAACGAGTGCTATATATGGTTTGATTGAGTCTCTCTTTCCAAGAAAAAAAAACCATTTTCTTCCAAACAGATGGCAAGAGCTCTCTCCCACTTCACTGGCAAATCAAGCCTCCCCTCTCTGTCTAAATCAAATCACAGTCGTCCATCATCATTATCATGTTACAGACCCATGATGATCACTATGATGGCTCAAAGCCAACCTTACTGGGCCTCCATAGAATCTGACATTGAGGTCCATCTCAAGAATGCAATCCATGTCCGGCCACCAGTCACCGTCTTCAAGCCCATGCACTGCCTTGTCTTCGCCGCTCCGAAAACCAAGGCATCCGCCTTATGCGTGGCGGCGTGTGAGCTCGTGGGCGGTGACCGAGACCGAGCCATGGATGCGGCCTCTGCCATCCACCTCATGCATGCAGCTGCCTACACCCACGAGCACCTACCGTTAACGGATAGGCCCATTTCCAAGCCCATGATCCATCACACCTACGGCCCAAACATAGAGCTCCTTACTGGTGATGGAATTGTACCATTTGGGTTAGAGTTATTAGCTCGTTCAGTTGACCCGGCTCAAAAAAATTCAGGCCGGATTTTACGTGTGATCATTGAGATCACACGTGCCATAGGCTCACTAGGGGTGGTTGATGGCCGGTACACGGAGATTCGAGGCACTCAATCCAACGGTGAGGAATTACGCGATGAAGACACGTGGATGGAACACGTGTGCAAGAAGAAGGTAGGTGAGATGCACGCTTGTGGGGCCGCGTGTGGGGCCATATTAGGGGGAGGGAGTGAGGAGGAGATTGAGAAGTTGAGGAAATATGGGCTTCATGTGGGGATGATACAGGGGATGATGATGATGGTTAATGGGTTGGGGAGAAAAGAGGAGAGAGAGATGGAAGTGGTAGAGAGGTTGAAAGTATTGGCTCTCAAAGAGTTGGAAAGCTTTGATGCTAAGAAAGTTGACCTAATTTCTAGCCTTGTTGAGTCTAATCTTTGCAATGTTTAGAGTTTGAGATGTTGACATGTACCTAGAGAGAGAGAGAGAGAGAGAGAGAGAGAGAGGGCATATGGATGATTGTATGATGGGGGGACAAATGAAAGAGAACATGGGACAGGGCAGGGTGTGTGATTCTTTTTACCTCTGCTTGTGGCCAAACGTTGTGTGTGAAATATAAAAAGTAGCTTAGTAGTGTGAATGGCTTTCTATTTTTGTTCTTGTTTTTCTTTTTTTCCCTCTAAATTTGCAGTAATGTTAGGTATTATGAAAAATCTTTCATGAAAATAATCATGAAAGTTTTGTGACATTTGAATTACACTTAGAATAAAGCACCACACACTAATCAAGGTAATCCAATGATCATAACTTTTTCATGATCATTTTCATAAATTTTTTTTTATAATCCCTAACTTTTCCCATAAATTTGTGGTGACTTGGTTGTGATTTTTTGTTCTAACATTATATTGAATACATCAAAGTTGACAAACAAGTTGTTTATGCATAAAAAAATTCAAAAGTAGCTTAGTAGTGTGAATGGCTTCCTATTTTTGTTCTTGTTTTTCTTTTTTTCCCTCTAAATTTGCAGTAATGTTAGATATTATGAAAAATTTTTCATGAAAATAATCATGAAAGTTTTGTGACATTTGAATTATACTTAGAATAAAGCACCACACACTAATCAAGGTAATCCAAGGATCATAACTTTTTCATGATCATTTTCATAAATTTTTTTTTATAATCCCTAACTTTTCCCATAAATTTGTGGTGACTTGGTTGTGATTTTTTGTTCTAACATTATATTGAATACATCAAAGTTGACAAACAAGTTGTTTATGCATAAAAAAATTCAAAATATTTAATTATTCAATAGTTTTATAATGTATTTAACACATTGATATGAAATTTTAAGGTTGGATTTATTTGGAATTTAAATTTGAATTTGACCATCATGGTTGGACTCGTGGGGGTTATCAATGGTCCCGGTTCAATGATCTAAATTATTTATTTTATAAGAACATTCATATATATCATCCGTACAAAAAATTAAATTAATTTAATCATTATAATTTTTTTATTTTATCACATTTATTTTTAAAATAATGAATCAAACTTGTTCATCGTAACTTTCTTTACAAATTCAAAATTCAAATACAGTGTTAAAAAAAAAAAAAAAAAAAAAAATTATATTTTTTATAAACCGCCAATCCGCCCGAACCGCCAAGGCAAATCCGCCATTATTTGCCAACCGAACCGCCGGTTTTCGATAAGAAAAATGGCAAATTCTAGTGACACTTTTATCAATCCGCCACCCGCCATACGATTTCTATTTTTCTCTCAAACCGCACCGACCCGCACCGCACACACCCCTAGTTGGGAGCTTGTACAGAAATAGGGAAACCAGAAGGGAAGTTCTCTAGTCTAGGTGAGCTTTTCTCGCGGTCCACCTTATTTCCCCATGTGCAAAAAAACAAGAAAAAGTCTAGAGTGACCTTTGTCTGAGCGTAAAAATTATTTACTATTTCCTCCCCCAATTGAAAAGGACTTGTAACACTCCGAATAAAAAAATAAAATAAAAATATATTATAGCTATTTTCATAAAATGTTTGAGACACAAATATAAAATAACAGGCTTGTCTCAGGTTTGAGATTAAGATCGAATCGTTTAGTTTGGTTCATGGGTCTCGTTTCGATAATCCGAATCGTTTTAATATGTAAAACTCGTCGAGTACTATATCCCTGTAAAAAATTATTTTGATCGGATATCGATAACTATTTGATCAGATCAAATTTGTATAAAAAAATAGACGGTGAAAAAATAAACGATTGACGGAAATCTAATCTGATCAAATAACTATCGATATTCGATCAACGTGATTTTTTTACAAGGATATAATACTTGATGAATTCTACATATTGTATGGTTCGAATTATCGAAACAGGAACAAAAAATGGGCCCATGGACCGAACTTGACAGTCCAATCTTAATTTCAAACACGAGACAAGTTGATCCCTAAAATAAATAATAAAATTCACATATGAGATTCATATCATATATAGAATTCATCTTTTATCTCATATTTAAGGAAAATTTAGCCAAAATTTCTCTATTAGACTTTTATTTGGTGAAAATGACAGCATAATTTATTTTACTTCATATACTCCCTAAAGAGAAAATACATAATTGAGTAAGGACAAAGTAAAATATCTTCTTTTTTTTTTCCTTGGGTAATATTGTCAGGGTAACATGTTACTGTGAATTAGAGTAATATGTTACTGTCAAACAAAATAACTGTCAAACAGAGTATCATGTTGCTGTCAAACAGAGTAACATGTTACTGTTACTGTTTACATCAATTTCGACAGTAATAATTTTTCTTTTTTAGAATTTCATAACTAATATGGATCTTTTTTGATAAATGTTGATGAGAGGATTCTAAAAATACTAATCAGTGTGTTTGGTTTCAGTTTTTTGGAAATTAAGTTTTTATTTTTTATTTTTTTATTTTTTTAGTGAATATTTTTAAAATTTTAAGCATTTTTTTTTTACTTTTTTAGATGCACCTTACTTAGATGTATCTAAATAGTAAAATATTTATGAAAAAATATTTTTTAAAATTAATAAATACATAAAAATACAAAAAATATATTGAATTTTAATTATTTTTTTATATTTTTGGCATTTAGTATTTTTTTATAAAAAAAAAATTCACAAATATTATACTTTTTTAGTGTATTTATGTTAGATATGTCTAAAAATTAAAAAAGCTGTTTAAAATATTAAAAAAATAATTGAAAACAAAAAAATACAAAAAATAAAAAAAATCTAATTTTTTGAAAAGTATTTTGTAAAAATCAAAATCAAAACCAAAACCAAAACCAAAACCAAAACCAAAACCAAACAAGTTAAATTTTATTAAAAACCGTTGGATTTATCCATCACGCCTACAGCCCAAACATAGAGCTCCTCACTGGTGATGGTAGGGCTGTACAAAAATTCGAACCATCAGACGAAACCGACCAATTCGAACCGAAAAATCAACCCACGGACGATTTTTCATAACCAACGGTCGGTGGCGGGTGTTTTCAGTGAAAAAATCAATTTTCTCGGACGTGCCACGGTTTCCTACACGTGATAACCGAAAAACCAATCCGATCGTTATTTATTAGCCTCCGTTTGGGAAGTGGGTTGGCTTTTTGGTTTTTTGGCTTTTTTGGCTATTTTAGCCTGGGCTAAAAAGCTTGGTTTGGGAAGGGCTTTTTGGCTTTTTGGCTTTTTTGACTTTTTTTGTGAGAGAAGAATGTAATGATTATGGGTTGGATGTGATGTTTTGTTTGTTATGGCTAAAATAGTCTATTTTGTTTTTTGTGGCTAAAATAGCCAAAAAAACCTGAAAAAGCCCTTGCCAAACGGAGGCTATATTATATAATTTTACTCGTGTATGTGTGCTATTGGCTTTTCATATTATGTTTTATCTCTAAACATTATAACCAGACAAAGTGATGACTTTTAACACTTGAGCTCTCTCTCTTTTATTTTTTATTTTTATTTTCCTCCCTCACACGCGTCTTTAGCTCTCTCACTCTCACTTACACGCATTCACCCCTCTCTCTCTCTCTCTCTCTCTCTCTTCTCTCCTTTGTCTCTTATACTTGCTTCGCTCTCCCTATTTTTCTATATCTGCCTCACGCATCTTCAGCAATAGCGATCATCACTCTTTCTCTCTCCCTCTTCCCCCAAAATCCTTCATCTACTTCCATTGTACCAATTTCTAGAACCTATTTGTGACCGTGACTTGATGATGAAGAGCCAAACCCTAAACTGCGTTATTCCTAATAAATTGATGTTGAACAGCGGCCATGAACACTCAAAAGCACTTAGCAAAACAGATGAACACTCGTTGATTCTTGGTGAGTGTTAATTTCTTATTTCCTTTGTTGTTTTGTCATTTCTTTCTTCTTCAGGAATCATTCCCTAATACCTCATTTATTTTTTAGTGTTATGTGTTATCTTCTTCGCCAATTGACATTGAAATCCCTTTCTCTTTTGCTATTTTTTGTGTTTATGATTTTTGGTGACCCATGCAACTCGACCGAGACCGACCGCCAAACCAAATGTCACTCTCGGTCGATTTCGAACAACACATCGGTCGGAAGCGGTTGATTATATCTTCAGCCCATCATGGTCGGGTCGGTTGACGGATTGCTAGGAAAACCGACCCGGTCCGACTCGTGAACTGCCCGAGGTGATGGAATTGTACCATTTGGGTTCTAGTTATTAGCCCGTTCAGTTGATCCGGCCTAAAAAACTTCAGGCCGGGCTTTACGTGTGATCATCGAAATCACACGTGCCATAGGCTCACTAGGGGTGGTTGATGGCCGGTACACGAAGATTCAAGGCAGTCAATCCAACGGTGAGGAATTATGCGATGAAGACACGTGGATGGAACACGTGTGCAAGAAGGTAGGTGAGATGCACGCTTGTGGGTCTGCGTGTGGGGCCATATTAGGGGGAGAGAGTGAGGAGGAGATTGAGAAGTTGAGGAAAGAGAACATTGGACAGGGCAGGACATGTGATTCTTTTTACTTCCAACTTGTGGCCAAAAGTTGTGTGTGAAAAATAAAAAGTAGCTTAGAGCATCTCCAACTCATCCTCCATATCTTCAAATATGGAGGATCCTCTCCCAAAAACAACTCTAACCCATCCTCTATATCCTCCTAGGATGAATTAATCCTCCAAATATAGAGGGAGGATGAAAAAATAGAGGAGACTCTAAAACACTATTCACTCTATATTTCTTAATTATATTCGAAATAACTTTTAATGTGTAAATTTAATTTTTATAAAAATGACATCAATAAAAAGTATAAAATCATACCTTTAAAATGAGTATAATATTAAATATGTTTTATAAAAATTTTAAAATTAAATATTTATTAACGAACAAAAATTACTTTTTGATTAGAGTTTGAATGAAAAAAATGAAGATTTGTAGTTGGAGTTTGAATAAATAGTGACCTCCTCTATATTTACTTTTTGAATAAAAAATATTATTTTCATCCTCTTGAGAAGAAGATATGGTTGGAGATGCTCTTAGTAGTGTGAATGGCTTTCCATTTTTGTTCTTGTTTTTCTTTTTTCCCCTATAAATTTGTGGTGACGTGATTGTGAATTTTTGTTCTAGTATTATATTGAATAGTAATATTCAATGAAT